GAGTTCTGAAGGCTGGAAGAGGTGCTGGGGGCAGAGGGGCAGGCGGCTCTTAGTGAGATACAGGGAGAAAGGGTCAGATGCCGAACTTTAAGAGGTTCACAGGCTGTCAAGTGAAAACTGGGGGTTGAATTAAGAGAGGCAGCTTCAGATCTTGCAGCTATGAGTCACACAAATCATAAAAGTACTTGAAATATTTCACCTACTCATACATCTCCTTTATCTTTAACCTCTTCCCTCTTTTTTGTAGTTATTCTCCTGTTCTGCTTTCTTTCAAGTCACACCCTGCACTGTTTTCTTCCTTCCTCGTCCCCTGTTCCCATTTTGGTATCTTTCTGCTGCTGAGCATTCATTACATTTTGCAGATCTTTCAGTTTTTGGAAATACTACAAGCAGTACTTCTGAGGATATTTTGTCTACATGATGACACAGTACTAAATTATTCTTTAAAAAAAATACTTGAGAAACTAAATTTTTTTTTAAAGTATGCACTACCCACATACATGCCCTCAATTTGATAATGAATTTGTGCTACTTATATCCATAGTAAATTGGTGATATTCAATATTTAGAATGCAACTGAGGTCCTACTCTTTGATCAGGTGGAAGGGAAATAAAAACTCAGAAGTATCAAACAAATTATTCAGCCAGAAAGCAGATCCCTAGCAGCTCTGAGGTGTAGAGAGGTTGGTTTTGTTCTGAAGCTGAGTGAATCAATGAAGAACTGCCAAAGCAGAAAAAGGTGAGAGGTGCCCAAACTTCTGCAGTGTAATCTCCAGCTCACAGCACAGTGGCTGAATGGTCACCTGCTGCATTTGTGCTGTGGGTGAAGTGATGAGGGGCACACACGCTTCCCTTCTTGGGACTGGGAAACGTGTCCCAAGACTGCTGTGAGGCACTGAAGTGGTAGAATGGAGCAAAGCCTCCCCCAGCCCTTCCCTTTACAGGGTCATGCACATGTTGTCCTTAAAGCCAGAAACAAAAATATGCCAAGCCAGGCTTTTCCATGTCAGGAGCCTGAGAGCTGGCAGGGTCTTGGAGCATGACCGGGGCAGTCTGCAAATCACGGGCATTGGGCCTGGAGTAACATTTGGCAAACTAAAATTTGTAGGATACAATTGTCAGGAGAGCATCTCACAGAAAGGGACCTCCTTTGATGTTCATCTGGATGTTGTACAGAGAGTGGGTAGTACACAGCTCACCTCCTCCTGAGTGGGAAAATAGGTGTTAAGAAGAAAAACCTGCTTGCCTGCTTTTTGAAGAGATGGGGAAAAGAAAACTCAGTTTCTGAAAGGCTAAGAAAGTATCCACCCCCGTCCCCACTCCAGTGGGACTGCCTGGGGAAGGGGAAGTAGTGTTTGGCTGGTTGCGTACCAGGCGGTGTTGCTTTGGAAAAAAAACTTGCTTTCTTTTAAACGCTTCCTGCCAGGTCAGGGAGAGCAAATATTCAAAAAGGACTGCTGCCTGTCAATGGCATATGGCTCCTGCACACAAGTACTCTGCAATTCTATTTCTGCACTGCTTATCTTCATGCAGAGAAAACTAAAGTGGCATCTATCAACTATTCCAACAGAGTCAAGACTACTTTAAGACCACAAGAAGAGTTTATTTGTCAGGAAATGTCTGCTACCAGGTAATTCTTTCTTTTTGCAATGGTCTACTTAAAAACTGATGTGAAACGTATACAGGCATGAAAGAGCTTGCATTGTTTTTACTGCATTTCTTTTGATTGTGCTACACCATGAAAGAAAAACAAACACATTCAAAAAGCAGACACTCCCAGGCTCCACATCTGCAAAGTGCAGTAGAGTTGTTTAGGTCTCCAGACTCCATCCTGTATCTATTTAAACATAGATGTTTCTATATTTATATGAAGACTCTTGCAAGAAAGGGAACAAAGCCTAGTCCACACTCCACTCTGGAAGGTATATTCAAGCTTAGATTTTTTTGCTAAAAAGCACCAGATAGAGTGTGTCCTTAGTTTTGCTTTATATTGGACCAAATTAAAAGTGTTTAATCTGGAGAATTGGAAATCTCCAATGTCTGCACATGGCCAGTGGATGTGATACTCCTTTAGTGTTATTGCTGGTGTCAATGAGGGACAGGAAATCCAGTCACCTGGAGGCCAAACATGTTGAGAATAGGGACCACAGTCTCTCAGAGCCCTGCTGTGCCTTCAGTGACAGTTCACTGAAAGCAAGATGCTCTGAACATATTTTAGCTGCAACACACTGTTCTGGATTTTAAAAATGACACTGTTTTGGCAAATACCTCCTGACCAGATCTTGTTTTGCTCTCTGATCCCCATTCCTTTCCTCTGCAGAAAAAACCCACACTCATTCATCATGCTAAACTTTCAGTGACTTAGCAGAAAAAGCAAAACAAAATTTAATTTTATACAGTTCCTACCACAAACCTCCCAAAACCTACAATGATCCAAACAAGAACTAGAGAGGCCTATCTACTCTGTACTCAATTTTCTTGACAACTGATATTCCATATTATGCTGTCTGGCAGCTGATAATTTTTAAACACACTGCAGGGCATATTTATTTCTCTTTTGACACTGTTTACATGTTATACGTATCTTGCTTAGTTAAAAACCCAAAAATTTTGATCACTGGCATAATTTTACCCTATCTTAACATAATCAAATTACTTCTGGTTATACTCCAGTCTGTCATATTAAGTCCCACTTTATTGAGCTGTCTTACCATGGATTGTATTATAGCAGTGCCTAAAGACTCAGACAAAGAACATGGTCCTTTTGTGAATCCCATAGACTAAGGATCCATTATTCTTTTGGGTGTAGATACACTTCTCTTCATAATTACATCTTGAGCTGTGACAAAGTGGCTGCCAGGCAACACAGCTGTCAAAACTACATTGTAGGGCAGCTGGAAAGCACAAATCAAGTATAATAATAGAAATGTTTGGGACATGACAGTATTTGGGATTGTCATAATCACCCTTGTCCTCGCAAAAGTCTTGGTGCTGATGTTGTCAATTGGGACTCCCAGATCTCTCTGGCATTTTGAGGTCTGCAGTCTTTTGTCTGAAGGCTGTCAATATCCTGTCTCTTTTCTATCTTTTGTGTCAGCAATAGGCATCATGCAATGGGCCATGTCACTCTGCTAAAATAGGTGAATAATTTTTTACACTTGACCTTTCAGATGTGGCTAATGTAATGGGCAATAGCAGCAGAAAGGAGGAGGTGCCAGAATGTGGCTGGAGCAAACCCTGTCACTTTCAAGAGTACCCAGGTTGGCCTGATTCGTGCTGCTCATCAAATCATGCACACAGGATGTAGTTAAGTTGATCTAACTGCTACTGAATGTAGTTCTGCTTTACCTCACTTCCAGGTTTCTGCCTTCCTTCACCCTGCAGCTGTGTGGTCACAAGGTGGATCAATTCAGCTGTTTTGCCAATGGAAAATCCATTATTTTTGAGGTGTTACTTTTCCACCAGATCAGCTGAATGGAGTCTGATGGTTACCAGATCCCAGGGAAGGGTGGCAAAGGGAGTGACTCTTCCATGGGTTGCAGGTGGGATCACTGTTTCACAGCAGCCTGCAGTCAGGCCAGTGCTGCTGAAAGGCCAGATTGCTGCTGCATTCAGCCGACAGATAATCCAGTGTCACACTGATGCTGGAAGAGGCCTTCTCTGTCTTGGCACCCTGGCACATTTGCCATCTTTATGGGTGACTCTGTGATCCCAGAGGAGCTGGTTTAGGGCACACATCAATGATGAAAAAAACTTGTTCCCTTTTTACTTTTTTCCCCCAAGATTAGTGTCATGGTTAAGCCAGTTCCCTGTGGGGCTGGAGGAGTACTAAGGTCAGTCCTAAAACCAGTGGGACCTCTTGCTTGGGACAAGGCAACAGCTCTCTCTAACATGGCTATGAAATTGGCTTTACTAGAATGCCATTTACTCAGACATTTAGGCCCGGGTAAACTCATCCTGGATGAGCAGGTCAGCCTCATTTGTAGCTTTGAGGCAGAAGATATATGTAAGGGAGACCTACATTACCATCAGTTCTGTGATCTAAATAAGAGAGAATAGAATCTGGCAGAGAGGAAGCAATTTCTGTAGCATGAGTTAGAAAAGGCAGGGAGACTAAATAAAGAGGCTGAATAAAGTCCCCATAACTCATGGATCTGAATTCTAGACAAGTCTTTTACAAATAGTATGGGAATTGGTTTCTGTCATTGGGAGTTCTCTTGCAAGGATTACCGAATGACTGGAAGCAAGTCATTCACTTGGGATGAACTGCTTGGTTTCTCTAGTATCAGTGCTGGCTGGCATTGGAGGATGAAACACCTTTTTGAATTCAAAAACCACCGGGAAGGGAACAGAGAAGGTCTTCACCTCTTGCAGCCATAAATAATCATTGGACCAGAGGGTAACTCGGGCAAGTGGGAACGCGAGGAGGCCTCCAGCCCAGGCAGGCTCAGTGCTTGGGGGTCGCACCGGGCTGCTTGGCACTTCCTACAGCCCAGTTTTGACAGCTTCCAGGAGGAAGCCGAGGCCACCCAGTTCCTGGAGGAGACCGAACCTCTCTCGCCTGGGCTCGGACCCGCCGTGTCTGAGCGTGCTGGCCACTCTCCCACGTGTTCTCGCCGTGGGTGCGGGTTTGTGCGGGGCGCCAGGGCCGGTGGGCACAGCCCGGGCGGCGGTCCCTGAGCGCAAAGGAGTTAACAGGACTTTCTGCCTTTTCCCGCCCGCGCCTCCTCCACCCTGCTCATTACCTGCACTTTATCACCGCCGGAGCCGCGGGGCGGGAGCGGTGCAGGGCCGGCGGGGCTTCCTGCGGCCGCGCCGTGCGGGGGAAGGTGCGCGAGTGCTGCGTGCGAGGGAGCGCCTGCCCGCCCGCCCGCCGTGTGCCTGCCTGCCTGCCTGCCTGCCTGCCTGCCGTGTGCCTGCCTGTGGGTGGGAGCGCGGCTGGGGCTGGGGCCAGGGGAAGGCGAGCGGGTCTGCGCGCCGCAGCCCGGCAGGGATGCGGCATGGCCGTGGGCTCCGTGAAGATGCCGTCGCCGTGTGAGAGCGCGGAGCTGGCCCGAAGCTGGAGCCCCGGCGGCGGAGCCCAGGAGCCGCCGCCGCCGGTGCAGCTGCGGCAGAAGCTGCGGGAGCTGCCGGCGCTGCTGCGGAGCGGACTGACGCTGCGGAGGAAAAGCGCGGCCGCCGCCGGCCGGGTGAGTGAGAGAGTGAGTGAGGAGAGAGCGAGGGAGCCGCGGGCGGCCCGGGGCAGCGCCCCCGCCCTGCCCTGCCCTGCCCTGCCCGGCCCTGCCCGCCGGGCCGCGGTGCCCGGGACAGGCGGGGCGGCGCCCGCAGCGCCCCCGGCCGGGCCGCGGTGCCGGGAGGCCGCGGGGGCCGGGCGGAGGTAGGGGTGGAATGAATGACGGAGGGAGAGAGGATGCCCGGGCGGCACCTCGGCGCCCACCGGGAGAGGTGTCCGCGGGGGGCCTCGGGCTCCGGCCGCCGCTGTCAGCTCTGGTATAACATGAGATACCAGGGTGAGAAAGCGTCCCTGTCCCATCCCCGGGTTCCTCGAGTGGCTCTTCCCCTCTGTCCTTTTCCCCTCGGGCGGGCTGATGCCTGCTCTCCGCGGTACAGCACCCCCGTGCTCCGACACCGGTGCACACGCGTGCTCCAGCAGCGAACTCCAGCGTGTCCTGGAGCGTGTGAGGACGGGATGGAGTGAAGTTGGGATGCGCACATCTGGCCCTCAACCTCTCGTGTTTCCTGACAGTGAGGACGTGGGGTCAGATGGACATCACCGAGATTCCCAGCCAAATTTCACTCAGTTTCACCCATTTTTCAAAAGGCTAGTGGTGTGCCTTCGCAGGGCAGTCAGTGCTCCGGCTGAAGTACAGCCACTGCCGTGGCTGGGAACTGCAGTGGCAAACAGCTGCTCACGGCTCTGAACTCTGCCAGTCGTGACTGGAGCCATATCGAGGGGTGGCATTGCCGTCAGATCAATGGCAGTCAATCAGGCATTACTTGCAGGCCAACACTGGATTGTAACCCACCTCCTGAGCAGTCGAAGTGACGTGGTGGGTTAATTCACGTGGGGTTGGGTTTGTCTGCGTTGGGAGTCAGGTGAACTGCTGTTTTGTTTCAGTGCACTGATAAACAACTGTGCAGGGAGTTGAGGGAAGTCAGCATGGTGTGTGTTTGTACCCTCATCAACTTTGCAGTACTTTGCCCGTGTAAATAAAAGATTTCTCTGCATGGGGAAGTTGTTGTGAAATATACCAGGGTGTGAATCTCAGACCAAACTTCCTAGGTGAATGGTTTGTTATAAGAGGATATATATAGGCAAGGAAGATAATTAGGATTAAGGTAGGATATAAATTCACAGTAGAATAGCTATTTTTGAGTAATGTGGATTCGGATTCTAGTCGTACATTAATTTCTTTCCCCAAGCACATTCAACACACACAAAAAAGACTAATCTGTATGGAGATGCCTAATGATTTTTATTGTTCTGGTGAATTAGTAATGCACCTGATTACAAACCGAGTTGTCCATATGAACCCAGAGCTAAGGGTTAAACAGTTAAACAGCTAATCTTGCTTTGCCCTAGGAGGATGTTTGCGACAGATATCTTTCTTCCAATGAAGAAAGTCCTTTTCTGAATTGAGTGTGGTTTGTTCCTCCTTAAAAGCGTACTACCAAAGAAATGGAGTAAGCGTGCAGTGAGGAGGAGAGAGGCAGCAGATCTGGTGCTGGTAACAGCTTTAGTTCGCAGGCAGGTCTGAAACACTGTTTTAACCAAACGAATTCATGACACTTCAGGGAGACACCATGCAGAGCTGCCTCACGTTTACTCTCGTGGTTATTCCTCACCACTACTGAAAGCATTTGACAAGTGAGCGCTACAACAGTTATTCTGTAAATATTTGCTCTGGGTGAGTTAACACCCTGGTGAGAAGCCTGGGTAGCTCCTGGGTCATGCAGCTCTTCACTTGTGCCTGATGAACACGTGATGCTCTCTTGCTTCACAGAGTTCCAGCTGAGACTCTCTCTGCCTTTGCTGATGTTCTGTGTTATGGACCAGCAAACGCAGTGTGACAAATTTAGTGGTGGTGTCACCTATGGCTTCACCTTCCGGTACACTGTGGGTCATTTTGTAAAGTTTTTTCTTCAACCATCTGTCTTGGTAGGAAGATTGGAGGGAGGATGGTGAGTCTGTAAGGCAGTCTGGAATCAACCCAGCAGATCTTCTGCTAGGAAGAAATTCTTTACTGTGAGGGTGGTGAGGCACTGCAACAGATTGCCCAGAAAAGCTGTGGATGCCCCATCCCTAGAAATGTTCAAGGGGACGTTGGATGGGGCTTTGAGCAACCTGGTCTAGCAGAAGGTGTCCCTGCCCGTGGCAGGGGGTTGGAACTGTATTGTCTTTAATGTCCCTTCCAACCCAAAGCATTCTATGATTCTATGACCTTGGATCAGTGGGAGATGCTGTATAGCTACAGCAGGACCTTTGGACCACTTGTCTTGGTTCCATGTGGAGAATGGGAATGCTGTGCACTGCTCTCTCTGGGTTTGTTGGGACTATCCTGCAGATGGAATTACTCAGCAGCATAAGTGCCTAGTGGGATGTTCCAAGGAGCAGGTCATAGAGAGTCCAGCAGGGTTGTTAATTCACTTGTTCTCTTTGGAGACAAAGTGGGCACCTGAAGTGCATGGAATGTCTCCCTACATGTGTGATCACCCAGGGAGCAGTTTGTTTTTGTTAGCAGTACTCTGTGTTGATTCCTGACTGTTCTGTGCATGTGCCTTTTCCCCCCAGAAATGGACTTTTAGGGGCATGACACTTTTCACATACTTCTATTTCATATGAAGAGTAACTTAAACCCTGAAAATGCCAGTATTTGGGAGAGGAAAGGGATAAGTTAGAACAAAAAAAAATTTTATATACGGCATTTTTTATACTTTCTCTTTTAAACATGACCCTAAAATTTTACAAGTCTTAAAATAAGGTTGGAGAAAGAGTAACACAAACATATGAAACAAAGATTCCCTTTTTTTCCACCTCAACAAAATATTTCAAGTTAATCCAAAGCTAATTTTCAGAGGGTTTTGTTTGCTTATGAAAAATACTAAGTCTGTTCTTCCTCTCCAGTGACTTTTTCTTTGTGCCTTTTTGCTTGTTTAAACACCAAGCTGAGAGTCTTATTTGTCCAGCTGGTTTCATCAGGAGTGTTGTTCACTTAGGTGAGTTGTTTTCAAGTAAATGCTGACCAGCTGAAATCCTGGCTTGTTTAATTTCCTAGAAAAATATTATGACCCCTGACCAGGGGTTCTGCTTCTGATGCTGACTTGCTCAGGGACTGCCTGCAGTGCAGTTCGCTTCCACATCTATAAAGCACAGATAATCTACATGTGTGCATGCCTGGGGACTATGGATAATAAAGTATAATGGAAGTGTTAAGGATATTATAATTGTTTTAAGGATGTACTTCACTTCATGCTGTTCAAATACTGCCTGGGCTTCAGGAGAAAGGAAAGCATTGTGTAGTAGAGGACAGTATACATTAAAAGAATTGATTACATTTTGAAAATCAGTATGGGGTGAAATAATTTTTTTTCAATCTGTTTGGACATCTCAGTCCTTGGCCCTTCACACTAGATTATCTGAAAATTGTGACTAGAAATTGGGATAATTGAAAATACAGTGTAACAAAATTATATTTCTCTCATCAGTTCAGTGTCACCTAAAACTGGAGAGCGAATTTTTTGCTTTCTGTGTTGGGATACATCTGGTACTAATACATGTAAAGTACTTGGAGATGGAAAAGCACCTTTTAGAAAAAGCTACAGTAACCCCCTGCTCGGATGTTTCTGTTCTGTGAACAGTAAACGTGAATATACTCCACTGCTTCAGTCATTTAGATAAAACAAATGTCCAGTTCCTTGTCTAGGGGAGCCCAATGTTTCTTTTAAAGCTTTTGATCTTCGAACTGTACATTGACCTTGTCCTTGATGGTGTTTTTTCTTAAACTCATTCTTAGGGCAGGTGCAGCACAGTTATCCAAGATGGCATGGATTATTAGATTGCATTTGCACAGTGAGCTGCGAGGTGTAGGTTTTACTCATCATCCTCTGCTGGGTAAAATAGCACAAAATGACTCAACCTTTTGCTGTTGTAGGTGAAGGTGTGTCAGAGCTTGTGCAGAGCCAGAGAAGGTAGTGGGTCATCGTGCCCTGTGGAACTGTTCCCCTCTGCCATGTCCTTTCTCCAGATCTCTGGAAATACCCTTCTGTTTCCCAGTTTGCCTCCTAGAGTTGTGTGTTGAGTGTAGGTGCAGTAGGCACGAGTACTTTGCTTATGAGCTGTCTTTGCTGCTCTTCCTGCTGCCTGCTAAAGATGTCTTCTCTTCCCTTTTCTCTTGTGACTAGTGATGAATTACAGTTCTGTGCCTCTGGAAGCACCAGCCCTGCGGGCCACTCCATCATGCCAAAACTCCTTTTCACTACACTCAGTTTCATTCTTTATGGAGCTAATACTGCTTCTGAGAAAGCAAGGAAGGGCTCAGAAGGAGGAGGAGGAGTTGTTCTTGCACGCACACAGGAACACACCTTTTTAATCACCTCTTCTGCTTTCTAGGTTCATACTTGCACACAGAAAAATACTGTTATACATGAGCATCAATGTTGCTCTTTGTCACAGTAGTGGATCTACTGTGGAAAACCTTTTGGATGTCATGGTGTCAAACTCCATTACTCTGATATTGTGAAAGATCCTGCTGGTCTGTAGAAGCCTTCATTGTGGGATGTACATTTTGGCTTGATCAAAGTTGAAGAGCTACCATGACTATTTTATCTTCTGAGACCTTGTAGTTACTTCTGTGAGGTTCCTAGAGGTCTTTGGCCAGGCAGGTGTTCTCAGGCTGTCTTCACCTTAGCTTTGTTTTGAGCAGCTACTTTGCTATATGTTTGTTAGGATGTAAACTGACTGTAGGGTTACAGGTTGAAAATAAAGTGTAGGAGCTGGGTACAGCTGCTAAAAGTCTACATGGGTTCAGGGTGAGTCTGGAGAAGTTCATGGAAGAGAAATGTATTAAGGACACATAATCCTCATCAGGCACAGAAGGTTCCTGGGCTGAAAATAGCTAGAGGGTTGGAGTGCATTGGGGATATCTATCATATATTCTGGCACTAGCAGTTGTCATGCTGTTAGAGACAA